AGAGAGAGAGAGAGAGAGAGAGAGAGAGAGAGAGAGAGAGAGAGAGAACACGGGAATTAGGACGGGGGGACGAACTCTTGTGTGCGGGAGGATTAGGCGAGAGAGTGCGACAGGGCGAGAGAGGGGAATCTGATCGAGTGAGAGAGAAAGAGAGAGAGAAGAGAGAATGCGGAGGAACGATTGTAGATTCGGAAAGTCACTTAGCCAGCAGACTGCTGTTCATAGTGCCCTGTTATAGTGGGTTCCCTAGGCAGAGTGGCAGAGACGCGGTTAAAAAAAAGTAAAAAAAAAAAATGAAAAAAGGAAAGCTGGAAGTGTGAAAGTCAGATATAGGGAGGAAAAGGAAGGAACAAGTTAGGGGCTTGGGTTCAGTTTAGTCTCACTGCAGAACACCCGAAGATGCAACGGATATACTTGTACGGATCCTCGATCAATGAGACACGCGTCGAAAGTCGAAAAGTCGCGGGAAATAATAATCGCGGGTTATAAATCGTCGAAACTATACGGCCTTCTTATGGTCGTCGAACGTTCATCGAGGCTCCTCGAGAGCCTCATCGTCACTCGATTGTCTTCGAAACATCCGAGTCATGTAATGCCTTGGCGATGAAATAGCAATCTATCTTCGCGATTATATATATAGATTTTTTCTGATACTGTCACGTAAAAACAAAGACTGTTGAGTGAAATGCAGTTTTATATCGCAACTTCGAGTCCTTGCGGCGCAATTAGACATAGACGAGAAGAACCGTACGCGTACGGACTTTGCGAGGTCCCATCGAGACTTGCAATCGTTCTTGAGATCTAATTTAGGTTCCGGGCACCCGTGGAGAACTTTAAAGCGCGACGGATAGCGGAAGCTGCGGAAGAAAGAGAGAGAGAGAGAGAGAGAGAGAGAGAAGCGACATGGAGAGAAAATTGTTCGGAAGAAATGAGGCACTCCGCCCTCTGCCCACGGGACCCTGATCTATTTTTCAGAATACGCTATTGTGATTATTACTATATGATAACAATTTAAAAAACTAAAACGACAAAAATATCTTGTATCATTGTTTATTATACGAATTCCGACGATTATATTATTTATATAATGTTAATAATCTATATTAACGAAATAATTACTGCATTATACCATTATTATATTTAGTATACTATTAGAGAGTGAGGCTGCTACGCTGTATTAATGAATTAAGTACTAAAGGATTAAGTAGACTCATCCTCACCTTTTTTAGACTTTACATATAAATTAATATATAAACACACGTAAAAGGACTAAACGCACTTCTCACGTTACTGCGTTCGCATCGATGATTTACATGTTTTTCGTATCGGACGTTCGATCACCTTTCTTTCCTGGGCGCTACTCAGTCGACGTTTCTGCTTTCGTTGAACCTGTTTGCATTCGACGACTACGTTATTTTATATATCATAATAGGTATAGACTGTACCATGAAATATTAAGTAAAAATAAATTTGATTAGGTAATACGCCACCTCTTTCTCTAGTACTCGCAAATGTTCTACCCATAATAACATGCATTCTTTTTCTTTTACCTTTCGGCTACCGATGTTTCTTAGATACACGAGAAAACTATATATACAAGTCCTCTCATTAAGTCTCTATATTTACTAATATCTTTATTTCCTAGATTTCTTAGAATATTAACGATCACGTGCATTCAGATAGCGATTTTATTTACGTTGCGTCAATTTTTATTTTAAATGAATTAAATGAATTTTTTATAAAAAAAAGATTATCAGAATTTCCGCGATAATTCTTACAAACACAGATATAATCATTAGCTAAAGTTGAAAATTAAAACCTCGAGAGATGGAATAAACCATCTATTCTTCATTTTATCAGTTTAGCATGGGATAAGGAGGGGGGGTTCTGATAAGGATAAGATGGGTTGAGTATAATCATGATACGCATTACATACGTGTTTTCTCATCTTTATTTAATCGTAGCACATACTATTCGAAAAATTCATAAGTACGACGTAGATAAAAAAGTACAAATATTTACAAAATATTGTAAAAAAGAAATCGATTTGGAACTCCTAAGGATATGAACGTCATTCAAATGAGCTTCCCGTACGCTGTTCACTTCGTCATCGTGTATGACTAGACATATTGGATATAATAGGTAGCCTTCACGAAACTCGCCGGCATGCGGCACGGCGCGGCGACCGGCGTGCCTTGTTTGCTTTCTTTATGGCAGTGATGGTCGTTTCACGATTAAAATCTGAGCGAATGATATGAGCACATAGGACTTGGATAATTGATCTTAACTTTACATACTCGTAATTGCGGAGTAGAGATCGCTGTAATGTTTATTATTCCTAACGCAGTTTATGTTACAAGCAGTGATGGGTCGTACTCAGGTCGCACTCCGTGCTTTAAGAATATCCCTTTACATTTAGACATACTCGATCCCCGTACTTTCCGCATGTAACTTAATATTCCTGTTCATTCAGACGCAAACTTTGGATAAAGATTCCTATTTGACAACAAAACTGTCGAATTACTTCGAATTCGTATTATTATTGTCGAATACTACGAATTGCGAAAGTATCTACTCTGGATACATTTCCAGATCTCTGCCATCTTTTCCATTCGAACAGTTTAATTTTCTCCGACGAGTCTTTTCTCGAAATTAAATGCGAAAAGTACGCGACGGATTTCATGTCGCTAAGTACGCCCGCTATCACTGATCACAAGGATATTTCTTGACGTATATAGCGAACATTTAGGAAGCATTATAAAATTCGCTCGTAGAGACGCTACGAGCTAATTCGATACCTTGAAAGATTATTTCATTTCGTGCTTTTACATATCCTTAATTAGAGCGCCCACGAATACACGACGATGCTCTCACAGGCAAAGTGCCTTCGCGGCTTGCCTCGCGCGTTTTTCCGGTATGACGAGAGTGCTTTAAATTAGAGAACAGTATTTACTTATTATTGGCAGTGTTATACGTCAGTGCTTTAATATGCGTATATGATACATCGTATTTATATTAACATGCACAGAGCCGAAGATTCACTCGTAATTGCTCCTCGGAAGAAACATCAAATTTTTTCGAGAAGAAATTCTCGGAAGAATTTTAGACGGATCACCAAGAACAAACGGATATGTCAGAGCAGCCTCATCGCACTGATCTGCTTCTTTTCTATTATGGGCGAGTTTTTTAATTCATCGATTGATCAATCGCATTATGCGCAAAGGCAACTTTGCTCCGTAAAAGCTACATTTGCGCATAATGCGATCAATAGATGAATTTAAAAACACGCCCTATTTCAATTGATTCCGCATTCAGTTCTTTCCGTTGCTAGAGACACGTGTATCGAATCAAACAAATTGCGCGATCGATTTTAATTCATGATGCAATAAGTCACTACTTCCTAATGAAAATGTTACTTTGCACCTGATAAGACTCGTGCTGGAGATCAACGTTGACGAAGGATTGACAGGTCTTTCGACAACGTGTCAATTACTCTTTGCTTCCTTTTTTGTTTCAAAAATCAAAAGCGTGTAAATCCAGATGTAAAGTTCTATCGAACCGCATTGTTGATCAACGAAGCCGAACAAATAACTAAATAACTTTTGTACTGCTCTGCGCGTTAAACATCCAAAAATTATTAGAACCGGTAAGTACTCGTAATACGTAAGTCCGACGCGGAATAAGTTATAACAACACGAATATTTTTCGTTACGAGCATTTTCTAACGCTGTCTATCCTGCACGACTCAATGCCGTTACTCTTGCCGGCGGTTCTCTTTTCTCGTACCCTGCGAACACTTGGCTTATGAAGCATCAACGGAAGTCTTGCATGAAGTGGAAGAAGCAAACGCGTGCGCATCATAATTGCCTCGCGAGTTCCCTCTCTCCTTTACAGTTTCTTACATAGTAGAATTAAATGCAAAAATAGGGTCGACGTTAAAATTTACATACCGTTAAAATATAAACATTGATATTCGTTGTATAAATCGGATACGGAGTCAAATATATATTCAGCACATCCCTCTTATTGGACCATCGCGTCAAATAGATTGTTCGCGCTACTTATCAAACCGTAGATTCCGACTGCAAAAATAGTATCGCGAGCGATACTTCGCCTCTGATTCGATCGACTCTCTAATTTCCGCGTGTAAAAATAGGTTTTTTAAGTACCATTCTGTATATGCTGATTTCTTGTTATCATTTTCTTGCGTGCTAGCAACTAGCCTTACGCGCCATGATCCTTTTACCTCTGATACAAATATATACGAAATTTCTTAAATAAAAAAGCCATCAGAAATTCGAATCACGATAAATAAAAATTAACACGATAATTCACGCTAATTTCTCGCGCTTAAAAAAAAAACTTACATGTATACCATCGGTATATGTACAAGGCCGTCTTTTTCGTCAAATACGAGTGGTCGATTGCGTTCTTATCACACATAAATATATATGTTATAAATAATATACGTTATAAAAGGTTTCTTTTTATATATCTTAGCGGTGTAGAAGTAAAATAGGCGTAGATAAGATTTCCTTCGTCAATTGATATGGTCGCGATACTTTCTTAATATGCATGTCATTGCAGCGCCGAGTCCGAACGCCGACGTTCAATCGAGATCGTTTTCTCGAACGATCCGATTGAACGTTTCCGTTTATCAGTGTTTGGCCTCGGCCTCACCTAACAATTAACGTATCTTACGAGTATTCGATGTATGGTGATGATACCTATTATTATATCGATACTGTATACTAAGTATTGCATTAATTGCGTAATAACGTGTAATGGGCCCATACAGAATCGTTACTTAGTACGACGATAGAAGAACAGTCATTGGAGCGGAGATGCTATTCGAAATAAATATTATTTTCTTATCGAGCTAGTAGACACGACAAAATACTGTAATATGAATAATTATTGCGGAACCAATGGTTTCATCTCGTTCCATCTGATACTCTATAACAGGGAAGCAGTAGAGATCGAGATATAACGTTCAATAATCACACAGTACGGAGAAGATTGCTCGCGCGCAATTTCGGAAAAATGACGTTTCGCGTAACGATAGAGAAATCCAAGATTGCTCAAAATACAATGATAATTGAATCTCTAAAGCGAGCTCCATATATAAAATATATCAAAACTCCTCGTACACTGAAGATGCTATACTCACTTGATTACAATGCAATGACGTACGATTAAAATAACACGCACAACGCGAAATGTTGAATTCCATATAAAGTCTATACATCGCGGTCCGCGGCGACGTCATTGAGACACGTAATCATCGCGCATTCAATGATTAATGAGTAAGCATTTTCCTTTTACAAAAGAGTATATGGTTCCCTATAATTCATTATGCGTATATAATACGAAGCGTTTAACATGAAAGCCGGTTAATTATTCTCGCGCGAAACCGCGGCGTCCTTGAATCCCTCCTTTTCGCGTGGGAGGGATCACCGCCGCGTGGTTTTCGGCGCTCGTCAGCCTTACCTCTCGACGTACAGCTCCACACAATCATTACCCCTATTGCAGTATTTCCGATATTCAGAGCCTCGCACAATTCGGTTGCGATTTTACAGCCTATAGGCAACTGTCGACCACAATTTCGCCTATTTTCGACACGACCTCGTCGAAGGTCGGTCTCTCGCGCGGATCGTTCGCCCAGCATTGAGCTTGAAGATCTTGAAGAGCCGGTGGTGCCGCCTTATGCGGCTTCCACGTGAGCGTTTGCGTCTTGAGCTGAGCCAGAACGGACTCGTCGTTTAACTTGTTAAACGGCAACTCGCCCTGGTGAAACATCTCCCAGACCAGGCACGAGAACGAATACACGTCACTCTTGGTGGAATATTCGTCCTCGTATACTGCCTCGTAGGGCAGCCATCTCAGTGGAATTACTTGATTCCGATGCTTCGTGTACTCTTGCTGATACGGCTCTTTGGTCATGCATGGTAGCGAGATCTTGATCGTCAGGTTGCTGGCGATCAAACAATTGCGCGCGGCTATGTCCTTGTGGACCAATCGGTTATCGGCTAAGTGTTTCAGACCCTTCGCGGCCTGATTCGACAGCGACAGTATTTGCGCCACTGATAGCTGGGGCGCACGTGGTTGTTTCGTTTCATGCGTCGGGCTGGAGTTGCTGTCCTTTCGTGAGGCGATCAAGAACTGTTTCAAGTCGCCCCAGTCAGTGTACTCTAAAATCATATAGTCGGGCTCCTCTTCTCGACACAGACCAATCAACTTGACAACGTTCTCATGATTAAGCTTATGGACAAGATCCAGATGCCGTTTAAATTCCTGAAGAGCAGTCTCGTCTTTCGTGTTTGTCAGACTTTTAACCATAACCAAGGATTCCTTGTCACTGTCAACCTGATACTTTGTAGAATAAATTTCACCAAATTCACCCCGACCAAGAGGCTTCAATTCCTTCAGGTTGCTTCGCGAAACGGCGATCTTGTCATAATTCGACTTGGATTTCTTAGATTGGTTGCTACTCTGGCTGTGAGCTGTATCCGCGCCGTCACTCTTGTTATGGGAATCACGGTTTTCTTTCTTCTTATTCGTTGAATTAACTTTATTCCCAGTTTCCTTCAACTCTGTCTGTTCCTCCTGCACATCGCCGTTCTCCATTTTTTCTAGAGTTTATGGATGTATTTTAGATATATATGTATAATACATAATTAAATTATTACAGACATTAATATTGACAATATACCTTCTGTTTGTTCCTGCAGATATTGTTGTTTCCTACGGCGACGGCGATAACGGCAATATAACATGAGACCAACGACAAGCACCATATATCCTGCGGCTGCGCTGAGAGTAATCGTTACAGTCTTAGTCATCATCGTACCGTCATCAGTGGCTTCTAGATCCATGTCGGCTCTATAATTATCCCCAACTGAAATAATAATTATTTCTATCAGATATCTATTATCATAAAATAGATCGTATTAATTTCTAATCAATTTAAAATAGTTAATTCGAGAAAATTATATATTATAATAATGTAATAGCGATTAATGCAAGTACCTTTTACATTTAATTGAACTTCCTCTCGCTTTAGACCACCGCTATTGCCAGCGGTACACCCGTATTTCCCTTCGTCACTGAGATACACCTCCTTAATGTACAAACTTCCATTACTTAACACTTCGAATCGAGGATTATCTAGATTGTTCATGCGAGAATCTTTATCCCATTGAATAGTCGGTTTAGGATCACCCTCGGCGGCACAATGCAACATCACTGAATATCCCTCGATTGCCTCAGTTGGATTTTGTGGTTGTACCGTGAATTTTGGAGCGACTGTGAAAAACAATGGAGCACGTTATAATTTATTACATGAAATTAATTTATTTATTATAGAGTATTAATTTATCGCTTGCTTAAGGATGTATGTCTAGAGGCCCTCTATGTATGTCCGTTCAGTCAAAATAAAGGGATCAAGCTGAAATTTACAGAGATTGTGCACTTATATGTTCTAAAAATCTGTGTTAAATTTCAGATCGATTGTCTGACTCGTTTAAAAGATATTAATTTTTTAATTTTGTATGTGTTCTTATAGAGATTGACAGTTTATCAAACATATGCATTCGGAATGTAAAGAAAAAATAGAGAACAAATCTCGGAAAAATTACGGTGTATAGAGGATACATTGGCATAGGTTCTCTATAAATTTCACGATGATTCACTGACTAGTGACTAGTTTCTGAGAAAAAAAGTAAAAACTGCAGCACTCTCGCAGATTTTGGCGTTTGACGCCGAAGACGCCTAAAGACGTGGCAACGTCGTTGTTTCATCGTAGCTAATATGGATATTTTTCGCCTTTTTTTGCCGGTTTCCGACATTTTCAGCCGGTGTTTATATACAGCATCTGAAATCCACTTACCCTTATATCTTAAAAGCGGGATTTTATTCACTTCAACATTTTTTAATTAACTACACTTTTCTAATAATCAGCTGTCAATATACAACAGATACTATAACAGTCATGTGATAGCAGTCGGGCGTTCAGTGCAGCCAACAGTTAAAATCGAGCGGTGTTGCCACGTCTTCTTGTGTTATTTGGTCGATATTTATATTTTTTATTCTCGTATTTAGCGTATTATTTTCATTTTATAATAATATTTTATACTATTGCGTGATATTTTTGATCATATTTAACCGTTACTTTCTGTTTTTATCCACATTATACATGTATGATTTTTATTTCTAGCAGTTAGATTCAGGGAAGATTCCCAGCCAAAAGTTTTGAGTAAATATTCTATTAAGAATATTTACAAATACGCTGTTAATAATCATAAAAACTGGTTAAAATCACTTAAATCAGTAACATTAAAATGTCCTTGTTATGATGTTAAATAGTAGTAAGCCGTTAAAGTATGCATACAACCGATATATATTGGATTTCTCAGATTACTGTACTTTTTGCTGGGAAGGTATAGGTAATACATCCTTAACATTCACCGTACAAGCATCGATACGTACTAACTACATCAATGCTGATCGTGTGATTGATGGACCCCTGGGCGTTGCTGGCGATGCAAGTGTATCGACCCTTGTCCTCCTCCAAGACGCCGTTGAAGTGTAAAGTGCCGTTAATATCCTGAACGTGTTTAGGGAATTCCTCGTCCTCGCCCTCCTTGACCCACTTCACCGTGGGGTTCGTGGTACCCTGGGCCTTACATGACACCTTCGCCGTGGAGCCGAGCTCCAGGCGTTTATTGACAGGCTGTGGCGAGAATTTGAGCTTCTCCTCAACCGTGAGAACGGCCGGGTCCGAAAGCAGAGACGGGAAACCCGTGGTGAATACTTGACACATGTAGTGCCCTTTGTCGGACAGGTCAACGCTCTTGAAATGCAGTGTGACATTGCCGTGATTATCGGTCACGCGGTATCTCGTCGGACCGCCCGATTCCCTCAGCTGCGTCCCGTCCTTCAACCAGTGCACGTGCGTCACCGGCGGTTCCATGCCGGAATACGAACAAGTCAGCGTCACGGAATCACCTTCCATCACGCTGAGTGACTCGGGGGAGCTTATTATACTTGGCGGGGCTAAAAGTTAAAATGACAGAATATTTGCAATTTTTCTGAATCATTAAACATAGAAAAATGTATAATTTTTCTTAGTTACGCTTATATTCCCTCTGTCGGGAAAATTATATACCTACTTGATATAACTATTTGGACGGATATATCCGTTTCACCGGCGAGATTCTCGGCCACGCAAGTGTAATTGCCGTCGTCCTCGCCCATTCGTGCCCTCGCGATGATGAGCGTGTTGTCTTGAACGCGCACGGGACCGGTATCGCTTATAATATGTCCCGTGGGATCTCTCCAATAAACCTTGGGTGGAGGAAGCCCTAAGGGTTCTAGGCAACTTATTTGGAATTCTTGATCCTCACCGACAATCGCCAGTTGAGTTGGACGTTTCGGTTCGAAGGCGGCCATCGAGAAGTTCAGCAAATCTGCAAGTTTTTTATTCATATTCAAAACTCTATGTTTAAAAAAAAATACAATAAAAAGTTTACTTTGTAATTGTACCTAATAATTACTATTTTGTATTATTTAACAATTTTTGTCGTTTAAAAAACAGTACCGTTACAGTCAATTAATATTATAATACTAAAGACTTTTATGATCTAAACGTATTTTTAATTCTATTATCTATATTATCATTTGATTTTATCGTCTTCTTATATTATATTTTGTTATCTTTAGTATACTATTTTGGTTTCTATTATCGTCGGTCTGTCGAAAATTCACGGGTGCTTACAGGCAATTTGCAATTCGACCGTGTAACTGACTGTTGTCTCGTCCCTTATCCCATGGCAGGAGTAGAATCCCTGGTCCCTTTGATCGGCGGCGTGTATCGTGAGAGTACCGTTCTCGAAGATCATCCTCTCCTCGTCAGGTTCCAGCGGGCCGATTTCCTTGAAGAACCACTGTACCTCGTCGGCGTCCTCGAAGACGCAGTGTAGAGTGGCCGGCTCGCCTCGCTTAGCGATCAGGTTTCTCGGAACGACTTTAATCGTCGCAGTTTCATTTCCGGAAACGATTAACGGGTAGCTCTCGGTCACCGGCGAGGATCCCGCCTCGTTCTTAGCCAGACAGGTGTACATGCCGCTGTCCTCGGGAACCGCTCTGTGTATGTGCAGCTTCTTCTTCTTGATGTCGACACGATCGCTTCGCGCTACGCTCATTGTATTCCTGTAAAATGAACAGCCAATTCTTGACTTAAATCATCTTCGCGAGACGTACAAATTATTTTACAAATGTGCAATCAAACTTTGCGTTAATTATATCGCTAATTACATCGCTGTTGTTTCTATATTCAGGCAGAGATTTATCTGACAAGCCAAGTCTCTGTCTTTGTATAACTTTAGCCAACTAATTTTGATTTTTGGAACACGTGCATTCTTTTATTCTCTAAAATATTTCTTGTAAAAGATTAATGAACTGCGTAAACGATCTCGCGCGATAACCGACTTTGTTCGCGCCCCTAACTGAAAAATAGCGACAGACACGATGGTTTCTCGAAAATACATCGAAGAAAAGGTTTTTTCGACGTGTAGACGCAACCAACGTCATTAAATGCACAACATGTTCCGCGGGGAACGGGCCTTTACGACGAGGGGGATGATTCGAGGTGACGGCACAAAGGTGAGACTCTCGATGGCGCACGCCGGGGCGAGGGAGTGTCACTTCATAATTAACCAGGCCAATCCCGTAAACGTCGGGTGTCAGTTACGCTAGGAACTTAGTAATTCGCCCTCTTCGTTCCGGTCCACCCCCGCGTCGCCCACTTGCTGGCTCTACCGGCATTAGTTGCCCCTCTCCTCGCCCCGGTTATTGTGCGCGCGAGACGCTCAGGTAAATTGTTGGACAAAGTTAGAACAGACGAAGAGCAACCAACTTGAACCACTCGTATTTCATGTCGCCGGAACCGTCAACGTGACATCGTAGCTCGACCTCGCTGTCCACGCGGATCGCGGACGGTAATTTCGGCTGTTGCAGCTGCACGCTCGCCTCGCTGACCCCTGAAACAGAAATCGATGGTGCCCCATGAAAGTGATCAGCTATTAACAAGATAAACGTTTGCGGTGTACGATGTATTTAGTACATATATCAAGGTTGCTATTGGTAGGGGTACGCTAAAACATATACTGATTTTTTTCTATACGCGCGAACTCAAAACTTGTACTTATAGGATAACTGTGATTGAAATATCGAGTCCAAGATCAATTTTACACATCATTACAAATAAATATGTAAAATACATTGTTTATACATCTATTTGTGTTATATTTGACGCGTATTTGCAAGTACTCTCCTTCATTACTTGGTATATATAGCATGGTATCAACCAACTAGGTATAAAAACGGCTGTACCACAAATTACCAAACACGCGAGCATACATAGAGGAGGCAAGAAAGTAGAAAACAAAATAAATGTTTAATAGATTGTCAACTATGTTGCATCGGGATAATATTAATATAATAATTTACAAGAAATGGACTTGGTTTTTTCCTTAACACTCACATCATCTATATACTTCGTTTTCAACTTACAACTACAATAATTACAATATTTTTCCATCGCTCTCTTACTTAATTTGTACATTATCCTTTCCTATCTTCAGCATGTATCTCAATTTCATTTAAAAAAACTCTCTAAATCTTATAGTCATTTTAAAAGAGAGGATTGAATAAATGGCAAACGGGCACTTATAAGATAGGAGTGAATTTTTCACTAAAATTTTTAGAGCGACTACTCTACTGGAGTGATATAATCTCATTCTAAAGCTATAGTGAATCACGATTCACTAAAGATCGACTAATAAATGACCCTAACAGAGTGAAATTTTCCGCTCAAAATTGTAGAGTGACATAATTCATTCCTATGGACACTGATCTACTGCACTCGAAAAGAGTGTCCTTTCACTCAAATAAAGTCCGATTTCACTCCAACTTATAGAGCGCAATTTTACTCTTTCTTACAGTGGCGAATCACTCAAAGGGTACAGGCTCAATTTTCACTTTTCGTTACACTCGCATTTCACTCGTTTTGAGTGAATTTCACTCTTCGACTTTTAGAAAATACATTCTAATTCATCTATCTTCCTGCACTCATCCCATGTATAAAAACCTTGGCCTCCGCATCGGGATAATACTTATTTCCGCTCTTTTAATAACCGTGTGCGTATATGTTGTGTGTCGATTATTATTGACGACGAGCATGCGAGTTGTCATCCGCGGTGGTATGCTGCGGATATCTCGTATAAACCCTATGCTACCGCATTTATGACGCACGTGCGTACAACAGCACGTGGAAGAAAGAAGGCAAGAAAACCGTAAGCTATTAAATATCGCGGATATTAGACACGCGGCGAATTGACGACGCTAATAACTTGAAGATTATACGCGATATACTGCGGAGCGGCGAAGTGAGTGCGCGTAATTACGCGCGTGGTGCGTGCCGAGCGATTTTTTTCCATCGGCATCCCGTCCCTTCGGCGAGATTCCTTCGTGCTACATAGATCGGCAAAGAAAAATCGGGATAGAGAGTAGCCGGTGGCGGCGCGGCGTTCTCCGAATGAACGGAAAAGAGAGACGAACGCGGAGACAAACGATCCCCGCGTCCAATTTCTTCACGTTCGACGCCGTCCGTCGCGTCGTCGAGGAAAGCGCCCGGAGGAACGGCGACGAATAACCGCGTGGATATCGCGGCAAACCGGCTGGAATTCTAGAATGGGAAAGAAGCACTCGCGCAGGCAGGACAATGGGAGGGAAAGCAATTCTCTGTAGAGATAGAAGAAGTCTCGGCGTGAGCAAGAGAGGCGGGATGGCGAAGGGATCAAGAGAAGGAAGAGGATGGCTTGGTTCCTGAGAATGTCAGGTCGATTCCTCCCATCGCCGCTCTTATTCGCCGTTTTTGCGTCTGCTCCAAGGGAGGATCAAACCCGCCGTTGGTCGTCTGAAAACGAGAACGTCCGCGCCCGCGCCCGCGCGAGGTCCCACTCGATGAATTTAATCGAGTCAAATAAAACGCGGACTTAAGAGGGGAGCAGAGGCTGCGTTCCACTCCGCTTATTCTTCGTTTCCGCGGCTGTTCGCCGCGACGAGCACGTCGCGAGCGAGCTCGTCAAAGTCCGTGGGCCCGTGCGAAGGACGCGTTTCCAGTCTCCATGTGTATTCTCCATGTATTATTCGTGAGGGACAGATAGAACTCGACGGAAGAGCCGGAGGGTCTCGGCTGCCCTTCGCGTCGGATACTCTCGTCCCTTTTTTTTCCTCAACTTATCTGGACTTTGCGGCAGGAGTTGTCTGAGGTTTCAATTATGTCCGAGAGCAGCGAACCCATATCGATTCGGGAAGAACATTTAATCCGTCGATGTGCTCACCGTGTCTGGTGGCATTATTTATTATTCGCGAAACTAAAGTTTGCAATTTTCGACTTATCTCATACAAACGCAAACGAAATTAAAAATCCTATATATAAAAATAAAAATAATAATGATATTTTAACAGCGATTAATCATGGTAACTTCGATTGAATGTAAATGAATAACTGCCGATAAATCTTGGAAATCGTTCTTAATGAAGAGAAGCATAGTCAAGCCCCGATACGTTCAACTATGCGACGGGGAAGAAACGCTGGTTAAACGAAGGCGAGAAGGGGGGTGCATCGTAACTCACAGGGCAACAGTTACCGAAGACCGTGTGGATGATAAGGCTTCGTTCATTAATTTGATTCATTAGTCCACGCCATGAAATTGATCAGCCGCGCCGGCACCCTCGACGGATAAAATGAAACGTAATTACGCGCGCCTGGGGCCTCGTTAAAAAATACGCCAATAGTTGAAAGGAAAACGCGCGTCGTTATATAGCGCACGCGGAGGGAATTGCATTCCGACGAACGTCGCAAATTGCGCTCGCGCGTTACGCATAACCGGAACAGCTGGGAGTCTGTAGGCTCACGATAATTTACTCGTTCCCGCGAACGTAACGATTCGCATTTCTACAAAGCGCGCGAGTAATTTATTACCGCACCAGCGTACCCGGCGGCGCGGCGGTTGGATCGTCAGCCGAGCCTCAACAACAGCTTTTGATCCACATTTCAATTAGCGGATATCGATTTATAAAATAAAATCCTAATTGCAAGTCGGATCGCAAATATCTAATTTCATGCATGTGTCCAAAAGTACAAAATTACGAATCTCGTCCTTAGAAATTGTCTGGTTCCAATAAAACGACGATATAACATTATCGTTATAAGTTATAAGATATAATAATTCTTTTTTGCAGTTCACGATATGTTAAGTCATAATATCTATCCCTTCGATCAATCCATTCAATTATAACGCTGCGCAACAAATATAATTCCTTTTCTTACCTTGAAACGGAATTAAATAATTTTAATTGATAAGTAAAACTAGGATCTGCGAAATAACTCATTTTGCAGTAGGCACGATGTGTTGGCCATCCGTGAAACGAGAGCGACTGCACTCTCGAGTTGCCCGAACTCCTGTTTTGTCGTCGGCACTTTTTTTCCTCTCGCGCCGCGTCTCTCTCGCTCTCGCTGGCGGCCGACTGCAGACTCATCGGGAGACGCATCGAGAGACGCTTCATCAACGAGCGGCGCACGTGAACGCGATTACTTTGAAAATGAATCCTCCACGCGGACTACGTAATAACTTTCTTCACGTTGGTGTGGCGTGTACGTGTTACATCGGCCGCGCGAATGTATTGCAACAATTATCTTTTCGCCGTTGTGCCTGGCGTACGTTATCCTTTACAGGCCGTAAATCTAATATGCAGGACGCGTACATTCTGCGTAAATTGATTGAGCTTAAATGCAAATGTTAACGAAGGAACGGTTTAGCGATCGACAAAAATCGCAATTGAATTTGTTACCGCGCGTTTTGTTGTCCGCGATCGTCGAGAACGAGATGCGTTTTCAATGTCACCGCTCGTGGGAATGAACCTTGAAATCGTCACGTGTTCACGTGACAGTCCCTCTCGGTTTCCGGAGCCTGATCATTGATCGACCTTCCACTCCGCAGACCGTCTGGCTCGAATTGTTGCGCGAAATTAGTAGTGAAAATTTCCGCGAGCGATTCGCAATCGAACCCCGGGCACTCGACGAATCCGGGATGAAATGAGAGGCGGAATCGTTTGATTGTTATTTCTTCTTCTTTTCTCTCTCCCTCTCTTCCTTCCCTTCCGCCCCTTACCTTTCGCAACGCGTGCTTGTTGGTGAACAGACGAGCAGTTTGAAGGGGCTTGCGTCGAAAATGCGCTCCTCTGCCATTGAATCTATTAAAGAGCATTAATCTCGAGGAGTTGTCATCGAGGAAGCGGATTTAAGAGTGCCGACAATTGTTGGTACAAAGCTGCGACAAAGAGCGCCACGAGACTCGGGAGAAGGTGCACGGTGTAGTCATAAAACAAGGAAGAAAAAAGAGGAAACCCCTCTTCCCGGATGCTGGGAGGAAAATTGAAGGTTAGAGAGCTCGTTTGCAATGACGAAAGTCTCACTTTACCTTTCGTAGGTCCGGATGAGATTTTACCAGGGCACTCGAGCTATATTTCCCCTCTCATTGCGAAATCATCTCTTTCTATCTGCTTCTCTCCGCCATTCTCTTCCCTTTCTCCCTCTCGAGCTCCGCACCCTTTCCTCGCTTTGTTCCCCCTTCTCACCCCTGCCGGTGGGTTCGCTCTTCGCTCCGTCTCTTTTCGTTCGTCGCCTCTCGCGCTGCTCCACTCCGCATCTAGGCGACTCGTGTTTAAATGCACAAACGAAGCGATAGATCAAAGGAACCGCCGGCAGGGCAGGCACAACGCGAGAATGGGTGGTAAAACGAAAGAGAGAGAAAGAGAGGAGAGAGAGAGAGAGAGAGAGAGAGAGAGAGAGAGAGAGAGAGAGAGAGAGAGAGAGAGAGAGAGAGAGAGAGAGAGAG